TCTTGACGACTACGTCATCCACATAGGCTTCAACGTTGCGGCCGATCTGTGTTGAAAAGCATCTCTGGATCATGCGTTGATAGGTTGCTCCCGCGTTCTTTAATCCAAACGGCATGGTGACGTAGCAGTATGCCCCAAAAGGCGTGATGAATGAAGTCTTCAAGCAGTCGGATTCCTTCAGTCGGATCTGATGATACCCCGAGTAGCAATCCAGAAAACTGAGAAGCTCGCAGCCGGCGGTTGAGTCAACTACCTGGTCAATGCGAGGCAACCCGAAAGGATCTTTTGGGCAAGATTTGTTAAGGTCAGTGTAATCGACACACATGCGCCATTGCCCTGTTTTCTTCCGAACTAGAACCGGGTTTGCCAGCCAGTCGGGATGAAGGACTTCTTTGATGAAGCCTGCTGCTAACAGCTTGGTCAATTCCTCCTTGATCGCGTCCTTCCTGTCTTGTGCAAATCGGCGGAGTCGTTGTTTAATAGGTTTGGCGTCTTCTTTGACATGTAAGGAGTGCTCAATCACCTCTCTGGGAATACCGGGCATATCCGAAGGTTTCCACGCAAAGATATCTTTATTATTTTGAAGAAAGGTGATGAGCGCGCTTTCCTATTTACAATCTAACTCGGCGCCTATTACAGCAGTTTTGGTAGGATCAGAAGGATCTAAGGGAATCTTTTTAGTTTCGGCTTCGGTTTCCCCACTTTTTGAAATCTTGGCAGCGGGCACTTCTCCTTCGCTCACCGTGGTTGCAGCCAGTCGGATTTCCTCTCGGGCAGACGCCATCTCGCGGGTTTGGGCCATGTCGCAACTTTCCTTGTCGCATGTGACAGCTTGCTTGATGTCGCTCCGTAGGGTTAGGACTCCTCGGGGACCAGGCATCTTCATCATCATGTACGTGTAGTGCGGGACGGCCATGAACTTGGCTAACGCCGGGCGTCCGAGTATGGCATGGTATGCTGTCTCGAAATCGGCAACTTCAAAGCTGATATTCTCTGTGCGGAAGTTTTCCCGAGTGCCAAAAGTGACCGGAAGAGTGATCTGGCCGAGTGGAGTTGCGGATAATCCTGGAATTACTCCATGAAAAGGCGCATTGCTTGATTTTAACTCGGAGCGAGGGATCTGCATATCATCCAAAGTCTTGGCGAAGAGGATATTGAGTGCACTGCCGCCATCAATGAGGGTTCTGCGAAGCTTGACGTTACGGACCACTGGGTCTAGTACCAGGGGGTACCGCCCCGGGTGGACCACTCGGTCAGGATGATCCGAGCGGTCAAACCTGATTGCGATCTCTGACCATCGAAGATATTGGGGCGTGTCGGGCTGAACAGCATTGATCTCCCGTTCGGTCAGCTTTTGCTTCCTTTTAGACTCATAAGCCATGGGGCCGCCGAAAATGTGGTTGAGCTCCTTGCGGTGGTCTTGAAATCCAGCCGGGGTGTCGCCGTCGTCCTTCTTCCTTGACGTGCTTTGTTTCTCGTCGGAGTTCTTCCGAGTAGACTTGGTGTACTGCTCCGCGAACTGCTTGTAGATGAAGCATTCTTTGGCCACGTGGTTGGAGTTTGGATGATGCGGGCATTGGGAGTTCATGATCTTGTCGAAGGTGTTGACGCGCGAACGCTGTCGAGAAGAGTGAGCGGCGGTTGCAACAAGTTCCTCAGGCTTACGCTTGCGGTCCTTATGATTGTTACTTCCACCTCCTCCCGTAGCCGGCGTATTTTTCGGCTTCCAACTGGGACCCGACTGCTTCGATGCGGTGACGGCGTCTTCGGCTTTGGCGTACTCGTTGGCTTTTTCAAACATGAGCTTGACTGTTCTGGGAGGTTTGCGCCCAAATTTGCCGACCAATTCTTCGTGGCGAATCCCTTTGGTGAATGCGGCGATGATGACGTCGTCGGTGATGTCGGAGATCTTGTTGCGTTGTTCAGAAAATCGTCGGATATACTCTCGAAGGGATTCTCCGGATTTCTGGATAACGTTGTAAAGATCATATTGTGTGCCAGGACGCTCGAAGGTGCCTTGGAAGTTGGCGATGAAGTGGTCGCGTAATTCGGCCCAAGATCCGATCGTACCACGGGGCAGTCCATGGAGCCAAGATCGGGCGGAATCTGCCAAAGCCACTGGTAAATAATTCGCCATGGCCTTATTGTCTCCTCCTGCTGCGCGGATTGCGAGACCGTAGACGGTGAGCCACGATTCTGGGTTAGTGGTACCGTCGTACTTCTCTATTCCAGTCGGTTTGAAGCCGGCTGGCCAATCCACTCGACGCAGGTCGTCGGTGAAGGCTGCTACCCCATCAAGGTCGTCGTCGTAGCGGTCTGGCGAGTGGTGACGGCCTCGAGCTGCTCGGCGCTGCATGATCGTGTCGCGAAGATCGATGGGGCGGCGACGAGGCGGTGAACGTGGCCGTTCTACTCGGCGCTCCCCACGGTAGTCGGGAGGCGAGTGCACGGACCGCTCGTCGTGACCCCTGCTCCTGCGATTGGATCCTGCGCCGGTGATGCTGAGGCTTGGATGACGGTAGTCCTGAGATCGGAAGTGTGGAACTCGGCTACCAGTCGGCGTGTGGACGCTTTCGGAGTTAACTGGAACCGAGGCCGCAATCATGGTCTTGGTCTGGTTCAAGATGTTGATGACATGATCAGATTGGTTGTGCTCGTTTTCCTTGAGGAGGGTGTCGAGGAGGGTGATCGCGGCAACCGCATTCTGCTGAGGGGTACGGAAAACCGGTATCCCTTCAACATCCTGCTGGCCGATGAGATCACGCGCTCGGCGCCCAGCTTCCAAGGTTCGCTGCCGTCGGTCTTCAGCCTCCTTCGCGTTCCGCTCGTGCACCTGCTGCTCCCGCCGTAGCCGCTCTTGCTCTTGTGCTTGGCGCTCCTGCTCCAGTCGGCGGCGCTCGATCTCGCAACGTGTTTCGGCTTCCCGGGCTTGGCGCTGCTCCTCCGTTTCATTGTCGGCCATAAAGACGCCGAAGAAAAGAGGAGTGCAGTTGTCTTCTAGGCTTCCGTCGAAGTCGTCAAGATCCGCGTCGTCGTAGTAGCGAGAACCAAACTCATCGTATTCCACGATTTCGGTGGGACGTGAGTCGACGGTGGGAGAGCTGTAGTAGCCATCCAGTTGGTCCGTCGAAACCGTGCCGAGTGGTTGGAGGATGACGCCGACTTCCCTGAAGCTAGGCGAAATCGGTGTTAAGACCGACTTCCGCCCAGGCCTACGGGATGGAGACGGCGTGGCGGTGGAGACGGCTGCCGAATCGTCAGGGAGCTGCATCAAGATCGATGGGTAAGGCTCATCATCTTGATCTGGCGTTGTTGGAGTAGATGCGATCTCGGCCGAGTGGTTTGAAGCCGACTCGATCGAGATGGTCTTGAAGTAACTTTCTGCCGCGTTTGGGAATCCAAACGGGACTGGAAGTCGATTATCTCCCGACTGGTCTGATTCCGAGTCAAGGAGAGAAATCTTGCCGAAGTTGTTGGTGACGAAGTCGAGGCTGCCGAACCGAAACGTCTGCCCGGGTGGAAAGACGAAGTCGTCGATGCCGGTGACGGAACCCATCGCACTGATCGGCGAAAAGCTTGACGCTACCCCTACCTGGCGCGCCAACTGTCGAAACTAGATTTCGGCAATAATAAAAGGGGGTGGCTATCAAGCTAGAAAAGTGTATGGGTTTGGAGACAAAGGATTTATACAGGTTCAGGCCTTCTTATAAAAGAAGTAATACCCTACTCCTGTCCGGGGATGAATCCGCCGAGTGTATTATTGATTGTATGATTCGGGAAAAATCAGCATATGCCCCTAGAGGCGCCCGGACCCCCCTTATATATGGGAAGGAGTCCGGATTACAAAAGATAATCTATATTCCTAACGGAATATGAAGATAGAGGTAAAATACAGTCGTAACCGACTAAGTCTCAGGGTGTTTCCTTGATACACAAGTTAAGAAACAAAACCCGAGATACAGATAAGATATTCTATCTACATTAGGTATCCTGTACCCAGTTCGAATACCATCGCCGTGTAGATATGGGATACCCATAATCTCCACAAGTTCCAATCTTTTTCTTCAAACTTTCAACTTTTTAATCACATCAAAACTTTTCTATACACACAAACTTCTAACTTTTCCGTTACATCGTTCCAATTTCAACTAAACTTCCAATTTTAGCGTGAACTAAACACACCCTTAGAGAAGTGTAAAAGTGCAATGCTTTGTTCGTAACAAATCTACCCCTGCCACCGCCATGTATAAAAAAAAAGGAGAAAAAGATCATGCATATGATGCATTGAACCTACAGAAAGCTAGCAATCTACTCCCTCCATCTGAAAAAAAGACAACCTCCTAGTACAATGTCTACATTTGTTCTACTAGGAAGGGTCACATCCCATTTTAAGTTATCTTTTTTTTTGGACGGATGGAGTAGACGCCTCATGTGATGGATCTTTGATCGACAGAAACCTGACATTTTCATATCTGAAACTGTAGTCGACATTCTAGCAGAGACCAAATCTCCTCTCCTTAAAGGCATAATCCTTATGCATGATCACTGCACCCCAAGTGATGCTACCACAGCACGCGCGCCTCCACTGCACACTCCACCACTCCCCAAATTCACCCCCAATCCATGCATTTTGCACATTTGCATTCTTCCTACTCGATCGATCGCCCATAGTGCCCTTGCCACCACGCCTTAACACTGCATTATTTCCAAATTTTATCTTAATTTTATCACGCGCGCCACCATCCTCGAAAGCAATTAAAAAAACAGAGATAAATTTTACAGTCTTGAGAGGTATGAAAATTTTTAGTGCAAACCGAAGGTATCAAAATTTACGCTAGAAAATATAGTACCTTCCAGTACGTCCTTAAGGATTGTAAAATCACTCAAAGAAATAAAGTGATGCGGTAATTGGGGTGTGCCAATCTTTCGGTGAGTTGCAGAAAACCCTAATTAATGCATTCTTGCTTCCAATAGCACAAAACCCCCCTTATCCCCTCTCTCTAGTTGTCATGCTCATGCTTGGTCGCCGGCGCCGTGAACGTCTGGTAGGTCACGGTGCCGGCGCCGGGGAAGACCTCGGCGGCGCGGCAATGGCACGCCAGGCCAAGCGGCTCCAGGGCTTCGGCCACCGGCGTGCAGAGCGACGACGCGGCGCTGGAGGTGTGGGAGATGGAGACCGAGACGGTGGCCGGGCGGAACGCGGCGACGGCGCGGCGGATGGCGGCGAGCGCGGCGGCGGCGTCGTCGGTGGCGCACTCGAAGCTGGCGTAGCAGTGGCCGTCCTCCGGCGTGACGTGCACGGTGGCGTAGCGCGCGCCGTCGAGCGCGTTCATGGAGTAGCCGCACGGCGCGAACGCGTAGGCGCACACCAGGGAGCGCGGGTCATTCTCGTCCACCACGCCGCCGATCCCCGACGCCGCCGTCATCTCGTCGCCGATGGCGTGGCTGGTCCGGCCGTCGCCGGGGCGCTGGTAGAACCGCGCGGCCATGCCGCGGTCCAGCTCCGTCATGCACACCTCCGCCGTGAGCCGCGCCGCGCCATCCGCGTCGGATGACGACGCCGACGACGACGCCGAGTAGACGTGCCACCTGTGCGAGGCGCCGGGCGACGACGACGACGACGACGGCATCACGGCGGAGCGGCGGAAGCGGAGGAGCTCACGGGGGAGGGCGGCGTCGAGGTACGCCACCTCGTCGGCAAAGTGGGCGTGCGGGAACGGCTGCGCCTCCGGGAACAGGTACTCGCCGCGGGAGTACCTGCACGACCGGAGCCGGAGCCGGAGCGCGGCGGCGGCGCGGAGCAGCACGGGCACGGCGCGGAGCAGCGGCGTGGTGCCGCACGTCTTGAGCACCACCCGCCCCGGGTACACGAACATGCTCGACTCGGACAGCACGTACGCGTCCGCCGCCGCGTTCCCCGCTGCCGACACCACGGCGCACTGCGCCGCGTCGAGCACCTCCCGCAGCGCCTCCGCCGGCAGCAACCGGAGCCCATGCCGCGCCACCTCGCCGCCGCTCGCCGGGAGCTCGAACACCAGCTCCAGCCGCTTCTCGAAGCCCTCAAACCCGCAAGAAGCCATTGATAACGATGGTGCGCCTTCGTGATCGATCGAGAGCGTGAGGAGCAACGCGGTTCAATTTATAGACGATGCAGATCAAGCTGGTGCCAAGAAGTGGCGGGAGGTTGATGACGATCGATCGATCCGAGGAAGAAGAAGAAGAAGAAATGTAAGTGGTGATGGTGGTGATCGATCGAGTTGAGTTGAGAGGCGGCATGCGCGCATGCATGAGGATGAGGGGGAGGCAATGGTAATGATTGTGAGCATTATGGGGAGGGGAGAGGAGGATCTTGGTGATTAATGAACAACGTTAATGGTGGAAGTGGTGGCAGTGGGGATTTCGAATGAGATTTTTCTTTTTAACGATTAGCACTAGACAACACGACTATGAGAAATACCCAAGGGTCATCTGGCTAGCTCTACAAGGTGGTAGGCCAGATGATCTGGGTTCAAAGCCTCGCCCCTTTTAATTATTTGATATTAGTCTTTTTCTAATATTCATGTCTTTTACTAGACAGTACGATTATTCATCGAATAGAATATGAAAAAATTACAAGATTAATTAGAGACCTAGAAGACAATAGCTAGGAAAGAAGAAAAAAAATCCACCACCACGCACCGACGTCATCTACACACAGCCAAGGAGAAGGTTTAGCACCGGACCAGTCGGCGCTAAGCGTGACCGACTGCCGCTAAACCAACAAGGGTATGGGAATGACCGCTAAGATTGCCCAAGTCCAAGCTATAACAGCCGAGCATCAAACACAACTCTAGCCACATCTATAAAATTGAGGGGAAGAGGATGAGAGAGAAGAATTGAACCGCTCTCTACGCTAGGCCCTCTAACGTGGCCAATTTGTTTAAACTAGGGCGCCACCACAAGAGGATGAGACATCTAAAGTGAGCTTGCACCAGTTATCTATGATAAGATTTGTCAAGGGGGCTTTCTAGATGACGTCTCCAGGGACAGGAGCGACAATGACACTGCCGCCACCATCCGTCGAGGTCTTAAGGAGAACTAAGACAAGATTTTCACTCGATAACCCTACAAGAGGAGAGGGGATGGCTCGACAACACCCCGAAGAAGTAAGATGGCGCCTGAAGCGCCAGCCAAGACCGGGCTGGGTTTACACCCGCCGTCCCGCCACCTGCCGATCGAAAGCTGTGCTCCATTGCTACAACCACCATCCATCCTCCGTCGCGCGTGGGCACCGTTGCACCGCCGGCCCCCGCCGGCCAACCTCCATGCGGCCTCCCACTCTTTGCACCGGACAGTTGTCAGGCCATCACCGTCGCCGACCGCCGGCCTTTGCCGCTCCGTCACCCACGCCTGCCACAAGCCGTCGGCCTACGTCGCCCGTGCCCGTCGCAAGCCGCTGGCCTCTGTCGCTGTCTCCTCCGGTCTCTAGATTCGGCAGCGGCTGTGCCGGATCTAGGCGCGGGGGAGCGGGGGTGGATGTGGAGGTGGGGGAGGAAGGGGGGCAGATCTGGCAGCGGTGGTGCCGGGGACACTATCTCGAGCCGCGCCGCCGCCATCCTGGCATGCCGCGCGGTTTCAGGCAGCGGCGAGGTGGGGGAGAAAGATGGAGGGTGGCGGCGGTGTCGGGAAACTAGGGTTTCGCCCCCCGTGTTGTCCGCGCATGCACGATGCCCGGGGGTGGGGTGGACTGCCTTCAATTGAAAAACTCTAGTGGGAATGAGATCAAATTCAACTTATACAAGTTAAAAAATTTAGCTGTGAACATACATACACATTAACTAGTTATGGTTTAATTTCTTGTTTTTGCTACAGTTTGTATGTATAAGTTGAATTTTAATATGCATTTTTGTAAAGTGATATATCACGCATTAGTCTATCTTATTATTATTATTTTATATGAAGACATTTGAAACAAAGTATTGAATTCTATGTTATCTTTTGCAATTCCTTTGGAATGGAAAATCCTATAGACATTTTGGAGGAAATTTAGTAAGGAATCCAACCTATTGGAAATTTTCCTCTGAGTCTATCTCTCTTATCCGATTCCTGCATTTTTCCTGCGGTCCAATCAAAGCTATTCCGTGTTTTTCCTATATTTTACAATCCTCTATTTTACACTTACATTTATATTAGAATCGTTTGTTTTTCATGTTCCTGTATTTTTTGCATTCCTATGATTTAAAGGGATCCTAAGTAATTTTAGTCCTCGTATATAGTAGCGACAAAATAAAAACACTAAATTTTTATGTCTTTCCTAGTTAGACTGGATAAACTTGTATAGTCGGTCAAGGATTATCCATAGGTTGACCGGTCCGTGCGGTGCCTATATCCTTGATAAAGCAGCTTTATATATAGGATCAAATTGTGATGCTCGAAGACGACAAAATGAAGTTGACAGTGAACCTCGCAATAATATTAAGAAATGACCTGCGCATATTATGCAGACATGCAGTCCCCTTCCTCTCTGCGTGATCATGAATCGGCGCACGGTTTAAGTTAATAACAACGAAGCAAACAAAACAAGATTAATTTGCAACCCCATTGGATTATGATACAATTCAATGTACTCCTTTTGGCCTGCATGCAATGAGTGGGCCGACACTTGGAGTAGTGTGCATATGCTGCCAACACCAACAATTGAAATCTTCCTCGATCGTTGCGGGTCCTGTTTGACTTATTTTTATATCCAAGATTTTGTGTACTCAAATACGTTCTTTGTTTTATACTCCATTCGTTTCACAATGTAATTCTTTCTAGCATTGCCCACATTCTTTTAGATATAGATTCATTAACATCTATATGTATGTGGGCAATGCTAGAAAGTCTTACATTGTGAAACGGATAAAATAGTATAATTTGGTTTCACTTTTTCTAAATAAGTTTCATTGAAAAATGTAGCAATATTTATAACACCAAATTAGTTTTATTGAAATTAATATTGAATACATTTTGGTATGTTTGTTTTATGTCAAAAGTATTAATATGTTTTTTTTATAAATTTGATCAAACTTGAAAAAAATAAACTTAAGAAAAAGTCAAAGCAATTTATAATATGAAATAGAGATACATAGTGCATGAATTTGAATTTGTGATTAAGTTGATAATGTCTGGATAAATTATTTCAGACAAAATATAAAATTTTAAAACACTATAATTTAACATATAAAATTCAAAATCAGTGTGGATATAGCTGAGCCAAACATGACCTTAATTAACAACTTCCAATGGATCAACTCGTTAGCTAAGCTAGTGCTATGCACAGCACTTTTGGGTTAATTCGTGATCGCCATGGCCAACCTGCAGGCTAAACTAGCTAATGATCGAGCGAGAGCATGCATGCACGGAAGTATGATGGAACCCGCCGACTTGCAAATAATTAAACACACTCATGTTTGACTAGAGAATTGTCGTGCTCTGTTTTGTTTGAATCCAGCTTAATTACGTGCAGGAACTTGAATTTTTTCCCCCGAAATTTAAGGCGGATATAGCCGTCTAAATATCGTATATTACTAGCGTGTGTGAATTATGTAATTTGCATTTCTGTTCCGGTGTATGAAAAGGGAATGGCTAAATTTAAGATAATTTCAGTCACCTTCAATCTAGTATTGGTATTGGGAAGGGAGGAGAGGTGAAACTCCCCACTAATAGTAATGACGCCAAAACTCCGACGACATTTAGATTTGGGAAGGTGACTCCCTGGCAGGGGCGGATCTATAGTACCATGGCCAGTGTCAGGCGACACCGACAACTTTCGGCAGAACCTATAGTAAAACTGTTTATCCATATGTTATAACACCGATAGATACGTCATGACACCAACAAATTGATTTTTTGAATCTGCCACTGCTCCCTGGCAGTGGTAGTATAGCTAGCAATAAGAAGGTTCTCTTTTCCGAAGATGGTAATAACGTCAAAACTCCGGCAGAAAAATCTGAGATTAGGTTTTATGGTAAGAGTCCAAATGGGAGCGGAGGCAAGGGAATTGAGCCGGTTTCCTCAAGCTTAAAGGGATGGCCTTATGCAATGGGCCCAGGGTAGAGGAGGATACGGAGATATCACCACCTGGGTGTGTTTGGACCTCTAGGTTCCCAACCCAAATCTCTCGTTTTTCGCGCCCACGTTTTTCAAACTGCTAAACGGTACGTTTTTTTGCAAAAAGTTTCTATACGAAAGTTGCTAAAAAAATCAAATTAATCCATTTTTGAAAAAAGAAATTAGCTAATACTTAATTAATCACGTGCTAATAGATCGCTCCGTTTTCCGTGCGGAGGCACTATGTTCCCATCATCCACTCGCGAACACCAGAGGTGACGGCAACATATCGACTACATGCGTGAGCACGGAGAAGAGGTGACTCTGAAAAACTTAGACAGACAGTCCCTTAATAAAATTCATGGTCCGTTCCCCATTAATCTCTATAGCTAGCTGTAAATTATCTGCAGGAAGCAATATTGTGTCGGTGGCATGTGGCAGCGTGACTGTCATATGTAAATCATCCTCGTACATCGCACAGGCGCAACAGACGTTGGTAGAGGGATTCTAATCATTCGAGTAGGTGCTAAAAAGAGTATCCAAAAAGGAAAAAAGGCAAGCAAGTAGAGACAACATATAGCTAGCCCGGTACAACATGATCATGCAATGTCTGGTACCCTAAGACTGTACTGTTGTCATTAACCAACTTAATTTGCATCTCTACAATGTAGATACAATGCTCATCGATCGATCGGAAGGGTCCAAAGATTTTGTCAGCAGATCTGGAGCAGCAGCTTGAGTGGAAGTGTCTATCTCTGATTTGCTGTAATTAGAGAAACAGGTGCAAAGACCGGTCGACATGCCTTGCAGCGCAGATCGATGATTGTATGCAATCCTCATGTCGGGAACACATACGAACAGGCCGGCAGGCCCTAGCTAGCAAAATCATGGGTTTTTACACTAGATCATGTGTGCTTCACCCTGTACTGTTCTAAAATAATTCAGCTTTTTATATCAATCTAAACACAATCTATATTGAAATTCGATCATCGTATCAAATGAAAAGTAA